AGCCCCTCATCATAATTAAAGAGTATTTTTCCCATTACACTGCTTCTGAAAAGAATGACAGGCATAAATAGGGGGCAGGGTTTTTTAAACAGCCTTTTACAAACCCAACCCTTAAGTTGGCTCGTACTGTAAGCAAAAAAACCCCAGTGATTTATGCTGCAGGCTCAAAGGTTTAAGGTTGTTCATCTGTTTCATGGCAGCTGAATCTCTTGGGTCAGGGGTGGTTGATCCAGTAATGATGCACTGACCACGTTTGAAAGTCAGAATTAACGATCTGCTCACCTGGATTCCCTCTTCATCTTCAAGCAGGAGTGGGCAGGTGAATGTACAAAAGGGAACAGCAGAGCAGGACAATGAAGTGATTAAGTAGAGTTCAGCTGTACTGCGAGCACTTCTTTCATTAACCTCTTCGAGATAATTGCTTCTTGTCTGTCTCTTGGCCGAATCCTGTGAAAAAGGGTTGCCAGAGCTCTGTTTCTCGGTGCTTCGGACAGTGCCTGTGAGTAGCTATTGCTGTTCAAAATCGTTGTGTGGCTTTACTCAAACTTAGGTGCCCCCTTCGGACCTGTAACGTTTTCTTGGAAACTTCAGAATGTCAAGATTGAGTAAAGGCCGTAAAAGTATTTTTGAGGAATGTATCTTGACAGTTTTTGGCAGATGGGGAGCAGATGCCTGCAGATTCCACACGGATGTTTTACTGGCCATGGGAGAAGCGTTGTTTCTTGTGTTGTAGGCTCTTAGCTCTGCCGGAGCTTCTAATCACGTGTGGCAAATTAGCCAATTATTAAGGCAGTGCCATTGTAGCTTGCCACACCGTGGGTTAGACTGGGCAGAACCGGCTCTGTGCTTTCAGAGTGTGGATGGAAGAGTGAAATCCTGGTCTGACTTCTAGTGCCAGTAAGGTGGGAGTGTGCATTTCTGGGGCAGCAGGACTGCGTGGCGCTGGCACAGCAGCATCCTTCTGAAGAGAAAGTCCCCCCTGCAAGACATCTGGCAGCTGGGCACGCCCTGGTCTCGAAGGGCTCTGCTTAACTCCCGAGGCAAAAGGGCTGGAGAAGCTGTTCCCTTGGCCGAAAAGGCCGGGAGTCCCACAGCAACTCCCGCTCTGCTGGTAGCCACCAAATCTGAGCAAATGCTGGGAAGTGAGTGGTTTTACTTTGCTCTCTTGCCACTCATAATTCCGTTGCATGTCCTATTATCCGTATTATCATCCCAGATAAAGAGACTCCCAGGAGTCAGATCAGATGGAACCAGCCTTTCAGGCATCTGTGAGCTGCGCCTGGCTAGGGCAAAAACCATCCATGGACTCCTCTTCCTCTGCCTTCGGTTGCCATACGGTTCCAGCACGGATAAATAAGGTAATTTCCCCCACCCCGAGTCGTAAGAAAAGAAAACCCTGTGTCTTTATAGCAAGGATTCATGATTTTAAAGAACCTTTACCTTCAGAACAAGGACACTCCTGTAAAGCTGGAGAAGAAATTTGGAGCTCTGGGTAACTTTGTAAAATCCTTTTGGAAGCTTGCTGTGCGCTCTGGTGCTGGAAGTGTTTTGAAACCAGAATCCATCTGGGTATTAACAGGAGATTTAAGACTCCCTCTTGTGGCTGCACTAAGCTGGTCTCGGGCAACTGTGCGGGGATTTTGCCATCATGACAGTCCGAAGGCTACTTCAGTATTGCTGATAGAAACTTGATCAGATCTTTTGTCTTTGCTACAAAATTCACTTGAACGTTGTCTCAACTTGATTTTTTTTTTCCTGTGTATAAAAACTCCTGAACTGAGTATGAAGTGAGAAGAGGAAGAAAAATGGTTTGAAAACGTTCTGATCACCTCAGATTACGTGGCTGAAGGAAGTTAAGGCAGAGCTGAAGTAGATGGAGGTGGTGGGGAAATCCCGGTGTCAATTGTATTTGTCTCTCCGAATCCAGGCGGGGTGTCCCTGGCGCTGTGGAGGACAGGGTGGTTCTGAACCCACAGGGCCAGCGCTAGCAGCGTGTGACAGGCGAACACAGGCAGCAGGTTCACTGCAGTATTTAACTGCACGTAAAAGCACGTTATTTCTCTTTATTAGGAATAGACATGACCCAAATGAATGGTCTTAATAATGCAACCTTGCCCTTCTGGCGATCGTTTTATGGCTTTTCGTGTGAGCCCTTCCAGCTGGGGACTTGAGCTGAGTCTGCTCGAAGACACTTTCTGCGTGGTTGAGTGTGGTACAAAGAATTCTTTGGCAAAGGGAGAAAATCTGAGGAAAAATACAGAACGGCAGCCTAGCAGCAGAAAGGCTGCGGCGTCATTTTGGCTATCGCGGCAGCACGTCGGCCTGGCCAGCAGATGCTGAAGGGGGGGTGGCTCCCAGACCCCAAGGCAGGTCAGCAGCACCGCTCACTCCATGGTGCCGGAGTTATTCCTGATTTTGGTTGGTTTCTGCTTCAACCCCAAGTTTCTCCGCTCCCCGACGCGTGTCGCAAAAGCTTTGGCGAGCCTTCCCCCCCGCAGGGGCGCGGGTTCCTCTTGCGCGCGGTGTCTGCGCTTGGTGAGAGCAACGCAGCCGGAGCGGGCGATGAGGAGAGCGGCGCTGCCCGTGCGCCCGGCGTCTGCCTGCCTGCTTGAGGGCTGCCCCCGGCTGTCACAGGGCTGGGACAGGAGCAGGAGCTTTTTGGGACCTGAAGAGCTTTGCTGTGCCTGACCGGACCCAGCAATAAGGGCTCAAAGAAAAGAAAGGAGAGCGTTTAATGAGGTAAAAGCTCTTCTGCCTTGCCTGCATCCCAAGCATCTCCCCGTTGCTGCTGCCCTCGCTGCCTGTGAAATAGCTTAGATCACGTTTGTTCAGGCATCTGCCGCAGACAAAAGGATTCCAACCTGCGCGTTCCTGCGCTCTTGGCAAGTGCAGATGGTTCGAGGGAGCGTTTGGTTCACGCTGCGTTCTGCGGCACAAAATGGTGAACAGCTTTTGCTGTTTCGATAGGGTTTAAGATTAATTTCTCCCCTCTCACCGGGGGAAATGAGGGCTGGGAAGAATGGCCGTGCCTGTTGCTTTGTTAAGCTTGGCTTTGGCTCCGACTCTGGCACCGAGAAAGGAAATAAAATACAGGGAAGGGGAGCTTTAGAAAAGAGCTATGGGTCTGCTCCCAAGTTGATAGGTTGAACGGTACAAAACACTGACTCCGAGGCATTGCTCTAGTGTTTGTAAAATCAGCATGGCAGCTCCGTTAAGGGCTATGAGTCACCCCGAGGGTGGTTCAGCTCTTTAGAAGTCGTAGCGCAGCCTTCTGCTGCCATGCGGACGGCAGCGAGCGTTTTAATGGAGGCAGAACTACC